GGCATGAGAAACAAGAGGCAGGAATTCAGAGCTAAACCTTGTACAGGAGCTGATTAAAAGCACAGAAGCCAACTTTGTTTGCTTTAACCTTCACATTCCCTCACTAAGCTGCAACATACAGTAAAACACACACAAGAAAAGAAAGAAAAGAGAAAACAAAGCACCTCCCTTTCTTTGACCTTTCCCACTATCCAGTATGATTAGCATACTCTGGGAACTGGGCAAGAATTTCTTTCAAAAGACACATTCTGGGAAAAGAAACATTTGGTAAAAAAAAATTACTCCTTTGCACACAGTGATCTCAGAAATGTTTACAAAGAAAAAAAATTATCACCTGGCTTAAAAGGCGCATCTAACAAAGCCATCCTTTGTCTAATGGGAAGGTCAAGGAAAACATGCCATCTACATCACAGAGACCTAGATTTAGTAAATTGAATGTATTTGATAGCACTAGTCTAAGGTGGCAATGCAAAACAGTGGAACAGCAATAATGGTTGAATAGTACCTGTTTATATATATATATAAATGTGGGAGAAACTTGAAGTAAAACTCTCCTAACCAATTTTAGTTAATATAAAAAGATCCAAGGGAAATCTACTGGTGTGTGTTTTCTCCATCATCTTTCGTTTGCCCTGCATTAAATAATGGATAAAATCATTGCCTCTTCCTACTTCTATGAATCACTTCAAATTTTGTGGGTGACAAGTTTAGACTCTTATCCCCGGATCCTCTTCAACCTTTCCTCCATTGACACCAACATAGAATACTCTCCACAAAGCATAGGAAGAATGAAATTTCATTTCAAATAAACATATCCAAGTTATGCATACACAACACTCTGAATAAGACAGCTGTCAAAAGACAAAACTGACAAATTAAAAGTTCTTAAGTAGCTTTATTTGTAATTCTAGAATCAGGAAACATTTCATATCATAAGAAAGAGCAGAATATTTATAGATAAGGAAACCCTAAAGAAAGCAGAAACAATGAACAAATAATGGATAGTTGCTTCAAAGTTCCTATGTAAATTACTTCAAAAGAAGAACAATAGAAAAACAATGGATTGGCAAAAGTCAGCTTACTTCAGGTTACTTTTTTTTTAAGTAAGGATTATAAACATTATCATGCTAATTGAAATTGGTGGGACAAAGAAATTTGGCTATTATCTCCTAATTTCTGCAAGATCAAATCAAAATTTAGTTTCCATTTGGTGAAAGTTCAGTATCATAATGGAGCCCTAAGAATTACTAGTGTAATTACTTAAACTTCTTTTGCTGACAACTACTGGCAGATGAATTAATTAAAAGCAGTAGGAAAACTTGGCATCTCTGTGTTCACTTTTGGATCTATCTTTGTTGTAAGTCATTCACTTTGCAGCCAGCATAGACTCCAAGAAGGACAGAACTGATTGATAGATAACATGTTTACAAGAAGGGATGAAGAAAACTGCCTTTAAGGAAAGGAACAGCAGAGCCTTCTTAGGACAAACCACCAACCAGGTGACAATGACTGCTTATCCTGATCAGATTCTTCCACCTAAAAGGAAGACAGGGTGACAACTTCCCCACACCACCTCCAAAAAAAAGACTGAGATAATGACCCACCCAAACTCCACTGTGACTTGGATTATTTAGTGATTATGCATATCTGTATGCTCTTAGCCTCAATTTTTTAAAATGTACTTAAACCTAAAGCTTATGTCTGTACAAAGAAGAAGGGTAGAAGTGTTCACTGTGCCTCTCACTATGGAAACCTGTGCCATATAATAACCTTTCTTTCTCTGCCCTTCATCATTACATATCTCTTTATTCGACATGAAAAGCTTTGTGGCCAGACCTGATATGTGCATCCCTTGAATTTGGGCATGGGTCTGGAAATACCCTACAGGAAATGGTTTATCACAAGAGCCCTGGCACCAGGAGAAAGTCTTATTTATAAGGAAAAAGACTAGCTTCCAGTTACAGTAATTGGGACAGACAGTTAAATTGTTACACTATGAACATACAAAAATTGTAGTAATTTTTGGCAAAGAGGAGACAGGTTAATAATTTATCCAGTTCTGTCCAAAATTGTAAATATATTTTACACGTGTGTGTGTGTGTGTGTGTGTGTGTGTGTATGTATGTATGTATGTTAGGAAAATGGAGAACAGAAAAGGAATAGGCCAGACTCGATCATCAACAGGTGAGGACTGTTTATTGAGGAACAGCGAGGGGCACAGACCTTCTGGCAGGTTTGGAGGTCCAAGCAAGGAGGCAGATGTTAATGAAAAAGCCACTAGGTCAAGGAAGGTGGGGGCCTTTCAGATGGGCCCACAATGGGATGTTTGCAACTGGGCTTAGGTGGATTGCCCTGCCTGAATTTCAAACAAGTTCACACATACCTGGGATTTTGCCTGGCATCTGTATGGGACTGGGACAATAGGGCAGGGGTCAATCCTTCAGTATGTAGATTTTTTCTTAATGTGGATGAATGTTTGGACCCAGAGTCAAGTGTTATGTCCAAGAGTTTCAGTAGCAGTATGAGTAATTCTTTTGATTTTTAGTCTGGCGTTTTGGAGACTAATACAACACCTTAAAATCCAAATAATAATCTCCTATTATTTTTATTTAACATTACATAGTAGGGCATTTTTGCACACATTAATATAGACAGTTTATAGCTAATATACTACATTTATCCTGCAGATTTTATTCCGTTCTTGGTTTTCCTATAGGAGAACTTAACAAAATTTACATACAATACTTTCATTATAGTTCCTCCTAAATTCATTTGCAAATCGAGATGGAAAAATTTGTTATAGGTAATTGCCTTCATACAAAGGAATAACTGTGGGGGGGATGGAAAATGTGGGTATTGGCATGTGCCAGTGCTGGGGTTTGAACTCATAGCCTTGTATTCTCCCTTGGCTTTTTCACTCAAGGCTGGCACTCTATTACTGGATCCATCCTTCCAGTTAGGGCTTTTGCTGGTCAATTGGAGATGAGAGTGTCACAGACTTTCCTACCTGGGCTGGCTTTGAATTCAGATCTCAGTTTGCTAAATAGCTAGAATTACAGGCATGAACCTGCACCTGGTGGAAAACCAGAATTTTCTATTTTCTAAATTGCAAATGGTTGTACAAGGAGGTTACAATTTAACATGTCCATATAGGAGCCCAGTGTTTCTTTTTTTTAAATTTTATTTTATTTGTGAACATACTGTACAGAGGGGTTACAATTGCATGGGCAGGATAATGCGTACATTTCTTACCAAGCATTGCAGCCTCCTCCTTTGTTTACCCTTCCCATCCCTTCCCAGCCTCCCCCCTCCCCCATCCCCCCATCCCAATCCTTCTCCTTCCCCCTCCCCCCCCCCCCTTCTCCCCCCCCACACCGACGTTGTAAAGCTCGTTTTGGACATGACAACTTGTACTTCTCATTGTTGCATCAGATCCACCTGTATCCTTAAACAACTGGTTTTTCCCCATCTCCTCCACAAGTTATACTGACATCAAATATAGTGAAAGCAGGGGTTATACTGTGGGGGAGGGACATACAAAGCAACAAAGAGATATCTTATAAATGTGTTAGAAACACATGCATGAAAGAAAAAACATTAAAATACATATCTAAGGGTTCATTTTCCTGACATCACATTATCTGACCTTTTCCGCTTGACTCATACATATACTAGATATTGCAAATAAGGGAAACCATGGGACCTATGTTTCTTTGGGCCTGGCTTACTTCACTTCATATAATTTTTTCCAAGTTTTTCCATTTCCTAACAAATGGGGCAATGTCATTCTTTCTGATGGAGGCATAGAATTCCATTGTGTATATATACCACATTTTCTTGATCCATTCATCTACTGAGGGGCATCTGGAGCTATGGTAAATAATGCTGCAATAAACATAGTTGTGGTGGTAGCTTTAGTGTGGTCTTGTTTGTAAGCATTTGGGTAAATGCCCAAAAGTGGGATTTCTGGGTCATAGGGGAGCTCTATGTGAGCCCAGTGTTTCTTGATCAGTCACCCTTTTTTATCATTCTTCCCATTTCATCTATTCCCTTTTCCCACTTCTTTTATCATATGAGTATTCTGACTGCATTTGTCTCCTGTTGTATTTTTTATTTATTCACCACCCCCACAATTTCTTTCCATGCCATTCTAACTTATTTTGGCTTCCTGATATTCATTTTGTTTCACTCTGTTAATTGTTCAAAAAGTTTACTCCATGGAGTTTCACTACTGAATATACTATACTTTAGTCAATTTTATCATGTATATATGCATGTGTCCCTGTGTGTGTTTACATGGAAGGCTGTATTTTAGGTCTAAGATCCACATATATGAGATAATAAGCTCCTTTTGACTTTCTGGACTTTGGTTACTTTGTCCATTATGATATTTTCCATGTCCATTTCCCTGTAAATGTCATAATTTATTATTCCTCATAGCTGCATAAAATTCCATTTTGTATGTATGTGTGTAAATGTAAACATATGTGTGATATGTGTGTATGTATATTTGCATAAGACATTTTTGACTCATTCTTACATTGTAGGGCATCTAGGCTAACAGAATCTTTCTTATTATAGGGTCTGCTTGTGACCATGCAGGCCCTGTGCAGACATCTCCCTACCTCTTGGCTAAGTTTTCACCCACTATCTGTGTTACCTAGGTAACACCTGGAAGCAGTCACCTCCCCCTCCTGCTAGGTCACATCCTAGGCTGCCCTGGTCATGCCTCCCATCTGACCATAGAAGGGTCCCAGGCCCTGAGGTCACATCCAGATCCAGTGTGGCCACACCTCTCCCCTACCTGGCCATACCTCTTCCTGCCCCTGGCCTAGATAAGTCCTAGCCAGGGGGTGGGTCACCCCTTTCAGCCATGCCTCTCCACCATGCATGGGGAAGGCAGTGGCTTGGTAAATAAATTTACTTTCCTGCCTTAATACTGCATGGTGTTCTCTTCATCGGCTACCTAAGGAAACCTACCTATTTAATATACCTTACACTTATTTTCTCTTTAAATAAATGGTTACAAGCCAGGCACTGGTGGCTCATGACTGTAATCCTAGCTACTCAGGAGATCTCCTGAGGATCATGGTTCAAAGCCAGCCCTGGCAGGAGAGTCTGTGAAACTCTTATCTCCAATAAACCACTCAGAAAACCAGAAGTGGCACTGTGGCTCAAGTGGTAGAGTGCTCACCTTGAGCTGAAATGCTGAGGGACAGAGCCCAGGCCCAGAGTTCAAGCCCCACGACGGACAAAAATAAATAAAAATAAATGAATACAGTCTGAGACTATACCTGGGTTAAGCTCCCAAGGTACCAGGAAAACTTCCCTAGGTCTTTATATTTCAAAAGGATGAAATCCAGACCCTGAGGAAGAGTTATTTACATTCCAAAATGTTAGAGTAAGGGCTTTTGGGTAATTAGGTTTCCTAGAGAAAAGCTCTCAGAATGGCAAGAGATATGGTCTATTTGCACTTCTTTTTTTGTTGGTTATGGGGCTTGAATTCTGGGCCTGAGCGCGGTCCCTCAGCTCTTCAGCTCAAGGCAAGTGCTCTACCACTTGAGCCACAGCGCCACTTCTGGTTTTCTAGTAGTTTACTGAAGATAAGAGTGTCATGGATGTTCCTGCCTGGGCTGGCTTTGAACTGCAATCCTCAGATCTCAGCCTCCTGAGTAGCTAGGATTACAGGCGTGAGCCTCCGGCGCCTGGCCATCTATTTGCACTTCATAGAGCCACAATCATTACTTTAGTCATTAGAAATAGGGTTTTGGACTCCTCAAATAGTTATGAGAACTGCCTAATACAGTCACCCATAGAGTTGAAAAGATTCATGAAGCCTGTCCTATACTTTTAGGAGCACTAGTAAAATATACTATTAATCCTGTATGTTTGGGTGTATTGTTACTTTTGAAAGGACTGAAGGACTGACTCCATTCTGTTGTTAGTTATCCTTCTTCTTTTTCTTTTCTTTTCCTTTTCTTTCTTTCTTTTTCTTTTTTTTCAGTACACAGGCTTGAATTCATACCCTCTTATTTTCCAGGCTGGCAATCTACTACTTGAATCATACTTCTAGCCAAGCCCTTTGCTGTTTATTTTAGGATGGAACCTAGAAAATCTGATTACCTGGTCTGGTTTCAAACAAGACTCCTATGTAGCTAGGATTATAGGCATGAGCCACCAGCACCTGATCTGTTCAGGCTGCCCTACAACTCACAATGTAGCTCAGGCTGGTCTCAAACTCATGATCCTCCTGTTTCAGGCATATGCCACCATGCTTGGTATGACTTCAGCTTTTTCTAACAACATTTTTTAAAATCTCTGAATAGTTTTCTCTGAAGACACCATTGATCAAACATGCTCTGATTTGGCTTTTAATTGTCCCTTGTTGCTGGAATGAAGTGCCCCAGATGAGATTCCACATTTAGAATGAAGTTATCAGGCAGTATGAGAGTTGGTACCAATAGAAACCCTTTTACCCAATTTTAAGCAACTAAGAAGTTGAGAGGAAGTTTTCTTTAAGATGAGCTTACCTTGGACCCATTTTTAAGTTTAATTCTGTCTGCTCTGTAAATGAAGTTCTAACATCTTAAAAGAATTTTATTCTGGTCACTATTATTAGAAATTGCACTTTTACTAGATAGTTTGCCATGCATTGGATTGTAAATGCCTTAGAATAGTGCTCAAACTGCAGATGCTCAAAACACCTAGATCTGTCATTACAATTTTTAATGTCAAGCAGTTGACAAAAAGCAGTTTAGTTATTTCATTGGATACAGCATTTTAGGATAATTGCAGTTGACAGCATTAAGAAATATTACACTCAATTTACTATCTTTGAAATATATACTAAAATTCTTATTTTAGTTAATAATAATAAACTTTGTGAATATAAATATGTAGCACTTATATGTAAAACCCCATTTAATTTTTCCTTAGAATAATTGAATGTTAAATAAGGTACAATGTGCTCAAGGGAGCAGAAAAAGTGCCTGGCTAGGCAATCAGGAAAAAGGCCCTCTCTCACAGGGATTCTGCGTCCCTCCCTTGAGCTGTTTCATAGGCAGGCCTATAGACATCATATCACCATGGCCTTGAGCAAGCAATCAAGCATACTGGTCCCTGGGCATTATGTCATGGCCCATTGCCCCTGAAAGACTTGCATGTGAGCAGCAGATTAATTGGACTCTATATGTTATACCAGAATGGGCACACAGTCAGAAGGACTGAACAATACATGAACAGTTTTATGCAAGCCGCATGGAGACTCTAATTGGGCCTGAGGACTGATATGGTCTACAATCTTTCCAGATATCTTCAGATCCACATAGCTTTCAGCTAGAGATACTTTATTAACCCTTACACAATGCATTCTAGGAAGTACTTCCCTTGGGACCCCTTTTGTCCAGCTAGAGCTCTGTTTCTCTTCAGTAAACCATTGCTGTCTTATTTCTTTCTGTGTGTCCATGGACTCATTCTTCAAGACCATAGACACAAAGGATCTGAACCAGGTGTTTCAGTTTTCCAATATTTCCAACCTTTTCAATTAAGTGGCCCATTTTTGTATTTTAGAAAACGGAGATTTGAAGAACATGAGTATATTTAGTATTTAAAGATGCTAGCAACAAATATCATCATAGCTACAGTTTTTTTTTAATATACTATGATTTACCTTTCACCTGTAGAGCAAAATTATAAATCTTTGATTGATGAGATAATAAAGAACATGAAGAAAAATCAAAGTTTTTTAACTTTAAAAAATTATTTTCTTATAAAGATGCTATACAAAGGAGTTACAGTTACATCTGTAAGGTAATGAGTACATTTCTTGTGGAGCACTGTTACTCCATCCTTTGTTTTTCTCCTACCATCCCTTCCCTTCCCCACCTTCCCTACTACCCCCAAAGTTGTAAAGTTCATTTCCAACATAGTGTCTTGTGAGTATCATTGTTGCAATGAGTCATCCTGTGTCCTTGTTTCAGCATTTTGTTATTCCCCTACTTTTCCCCAAATTAGATAAATGTATATACAAGATACAGGGTACCAAAATCAAATACAGTGAAAACAGGGATATACCACAGGAGGAAGAACATACAAAAGAAATAGAAAATCACATAGTACATTAAAAACAACAACAACAAAAAACCTCTTGTGTCCATATTTTGGGGTTCATTTCACTTAGCATCATCTTATATGATCATATGTACATAGCTTTTAACCTTTTTTGCTTGTCTGGTAAGATTATCCTAGACATATACTAGTTATTGCAAATAAGGGAAATGGGACCTATGTTTCTTTGGGTCTGGCTTGCTTCACTTAATATAATTTTTTCCAAGTCTTTCCATTTCCTAACAAATCTTATTTTGTCATATGTACATATCCATTGAGCTTTTCTGCTCATCTGATAAGATTATCCTAAACATATACTAATTATTGCAAATAAGGAAAACCATGGGACCTATATTTCTTTGGGTCTGGCTTACTTAATATGATTGAAAATTCAAACTTTAATTTAGGGGGACAATATCAATGAGCACAAAAATACAGTGCATCTTATATAAGAGAGAGCACTCAGTGGCCACTTTGTATAGATTACATGTATCTTTACTCTGTAACCCTTTTTATGACATTTAAAAAAGTTCAGATGTATAGTACACATATTTTAAGAGTGCCAAATATATTAAAATCACTTAGCATAAACATATGCTTTAGTAAAACTTTGACTTAATTGGGATTGAGTTATCTAAGTAAAGACCCAATAAAATTAGTTAAAATGGTTTTATTTTAATAAGTAAAATCTTGGGCTGGGAAAGTGACTCAGTGGTAGAGTGCTTGCCTTGCATGCATGAGGCCCTGGGTTCCATTCCTCAGCACCACGTAAAGCAGAAAAAGCTATAAGTGGCCCTGTGGCTCAAATGGTAGAGTGCTGGCCTTGAGCTGAAGAGTTGAAGGATAGCGCCCAGGCCCAGAGTTCAGGCCCCATGGCCAAAAAAAAAAAAAAAAGTAAAATCTTTTGTTTAAATATGTTTCTTATAAATATTGGCAAGAGAGAATATTTTAAGACATAGAAATAGGTGTTAATTTTACCTCAGAGCATTAAATCAAGCCTTGTAAAATTCTTAAATAGCCAATTCAATTACACACATAAACGTTTCTCATCCAAGAGCATGCATCTTCCCTTTAATTTTTTTATCCAAAAGCAAATCTCATACCTTCCTATACATTTCCTACCTGCTGCTTCCATTCTGTTCTTTCCAATTTGTCTCTTTTCCCAGTAAAATTATATTAGTGAAGATCCAAGGGAAAAGTACTTTGAAATTATTTTTCTATATCATAAAAAATTTCAAAAATGTAAGGGAGATGAATACAAATAATGATAGACTAAAACAGATTAAGACCCATCTGTCCACATGTAGCAAGACTTTTCACTTTAGTCCTCACTGTTTCAAAGTTACCTTTTGAATATGTGCTTTTTAGTTAATTAGCTTTATAGCAGGAGTTTAAGAACATACTAAAGATGCTCACACAGCTACACACAAAGAAGTTTTTAAAGTAGGCATTCCAAGAATGTAAAAGTCAATTTAAGCAGGCACAAAATTAGCTGGAATTCCAGGAGAAAATTAAGTTTTGCACAAAGTTGTTTTAGTACTCACTTTGTTAGAGGCTTGTCATGGCTACTGAAGCAAAAATAAATATCTAGCAGGATCACAACTGCCAGGATTTTAACCTTCATTATGCAATTAGAAACTCACAGTAATAGATACACACCAAAAATAAAATGACATAAAAATCAATTATATATTTATGTATAAATCTTTTAGGTTTAGTCTTGAGTAAGAATTTTCCTCAGGCATAGACTCAGAGCTTTATTAATTTTAGATAAATCACAACAGATGGACTTAAATTTTAGTAGCACTCATTACCTCCCTATTAGTTATCAAAAAAGAATCCATTTTTTCCCTGTCAAACTGCAGAAACTCAAAGTTGAACACAAATGGCTCAGATATCAAATTTGCAATTACAATCTTTCAAGGCACAAAGTAGGTATATTTGAATGCCAGGACTGCTCATATATTTTATAATATAATCTCTCCTTAAAATTCCAACATTTAGTTGTCTTATTTAAGCACTAATTCTCTGGGGCTCCTTTTGAACACACCGGGGCCTACTTTTAACTTAAGACTTCCCTCCTGGAATTTCTGTTGATTTTTTAGAATAATCTCTAATAATAGTTTACCTTGGGTTACAACAAATTTTTGTTATTAACCAAATATTTACAGCTGATTTAGGAATCCTAGTTGGGAGTACAGAGCTAGTGTTACATATCTTCTTTTAGACAGAGGCTACAGAATGCATGAATCCACCCAGTATGTAACTAAAAATGAGCTTTTCCGTAATTGCTTTGTGGAACCTTATTTCTGAAATGAGAATCTGAATGTTAAGCATGGAAAGGGACACCTCATAATCACAAAACATCAACCATCTTATTAAAACATAGCAATGATGAAGGGGGCTGCTGCTCTCCTGCCTTTTAACTAATAGAAAAACCCAAAATACATTTTTGAACTGTCTTCAGTGGTGCAAACACTGCACTCAGGTTAAACATGGAGAATTGAGGGTGAAAAAGTTAGGTCTAGTTAAAACAGTCTCGAGTCACAGGTATGTTCTAGTTGGTGATTAGCTCAGTCTTTGACTCCAGAGGCCTGGCAGGTGGTCCGTAGCTTTTGGCTGTTCTCTTCAGAATGGCATTGTCTGTCTGAGGGGGCAATTTGCCTTTTATCATGATTATGTGTGAATCTTGTTTTTTCTAGAGCCCAAGGTGGTTAAAGTGACTGCAGGAGAGCATGCCTTCTTTGCCTCTTCTCACAGCTGTCTGTATTGTGTAATAAACATCCTTTCTCTGCCCTTGACCAGGTTTCTTTAATTTGCTCTGTATTATCAAATTAAAGGGGCAAGTGGCTAGGCCTTTAATGTGAACTTAGGAAATTTGGGCCTGATATCTAAAACACTCCAGTTATAGCTTCTGCTATCCAAGTTCTGGCTTTCATAAATAACTCCTATTTAGGATTACTCCTCTCCAATATCATCATCTTCAAACCTCAAAAATATTAATAAATATTCTGGTCTGTATGGATGATTTGGGAGAAGTACTTAGGACACTAATATGGACTTTGCTTGGATTTGTGGTGAGAATGTCTCTTTGAGCTATAGAAGTGAATAACATTTGTTGTTGTTGTTGTTCATAGGCCTGAACTCTGGGCCTGGGCGCTGTCCTTCAACTCTTCAGCTCAAGGCAAGCCCTCTACCACTGAGCCAACTTCCCAGCACAGAAGTTAATAACAATTTTAAAAGACGACTATTGTCAAAGTTTCCAAAACGATCTGCCTGAATGATTGTAGTTTATACATTAAGAAACACTTTGTGTAGATTGTATCAAATAGTCTCCTTCTCTGAGACACAAAGTTTCACTCCTCTATTTTGCTGTGTTTTAGCTCAAAAATAGGTACAGTCTGTTCAGATTCTTGGTTCTGAAAGCAGTCTCAGAGACACTGCATTACCAATAATCTCTCACCTCTCCAAAAAGAATAAACCATAACATTTTAGGTAGTTTTCATGGCTAATTCCATTTGACTAATTTTACTAATAACCTGCACTGTCCATTCAATTATTTTGGCATAAGATTAAACAAATTTCCAATAAAGAGTTGTCTAGGTCATGACCTTTTAGGTTTTAATTATACACAATACTTGGTGATCTTTAAGTAATGAAAGGAGAAGTAACAGGGTAAACAAATCCAAATGGACATAACAAAAAATCATTTCTAGCTGGGCACTGATGGCTCAAGCCTGTAATCTTAGCTACTCAGGAGACTGAGATCAAAGCGAGTCCAGGGAGGAAAGTCCATGAGATTTTTACCACCAATTAACCACCAGAAAAGGAAGTGGCACTGTATCTCAAATGGTAGAACACGTGCCTTGAGCTGAAGAGCTCAGGGACTGCACCTAAGCCCAGACTTCAAGCCCCATGACAGACAAAAACAACAACAAAAAATTTCTTCTTCTTTTTTTTAAATCATTTCTAATTTGGGGGCAACTTTCTGAGAAAGAAACATTCTGTTGTAAAGGTAGTGTACAGAGGGGTTACAGTTACATACATAAGGTAATGGGTACATTTCTTGTAGAACAGTGTTGCCTCCTCTTGTTTTTCTCCCACTTTCCCTCCCCCCAACTCCTCTCCCCCTTAAGTTGTAGAGTTCATTTCCAACATAGTGTCTTGTAAGTATCATTGTTGCATTGGATCAACCTTTGTCCTTTGTTTCACCATTTTGTTATTCCCTTCCCTTCCTCAAATCAGATAAATTTATATACAAAAATCAAGCCACTTATTAATGGGGTGGTTGTTCAAGGATTATTATTGGATTTATTTATTATTATTATTGTTTATTATTGGTTTAATTTTTGAACTCTAGGTATATTTTTGATATGAGACCCTTGTCTGTTGTATAGCTAGTGAAGATCTCTCAATCTGTGGGCTTTCTATTTATCTTTTTTTTCTTTTTTTTTATTGTGAAAATACTGTACAGAGGGGTTACAATTACATGGGCAAGATAATGAGTACATTTCTTATCAAGAGTTATAGCCTCCTCCTTTGTTTCCCCTTCCCATCCCTTCCCATCCTTCCCATCCCACCACCCAATCCTCCCCGCTCCCCTGCCACCTCCCACCAAAGTTTGTAAAGTTCTTTTTCAACATAAAAACTTGTACATCTCATTGTTGCAATGGGTCCACCTGTATTCCTATTTAAACGATTTGTTTTTCCCCTTCCCCTCTACAAATTATACCGACATCAAACATAGTGAAAGCAGGGGTTACACTGTGGGGGAGGGACATACAAAGCAACAAAGAAATCATCTTATAAATGTGTTA